AAGACAGGCAAAGAATGTAGGGTTATTTTGCATTTACCAAAGCTGTTGAGTTATATGTGGAACACTAGTATTCAGTATAAAACACAACAAAATCAACCACTTGCCATTGAGTCAGTTCTGACTCATGGCAACCCATGTGTGTCAGAGTAGAAGTATGGTCCACAGGGTTTTCAATGGCCGTGACTTTTTGGAAGCAAATTGTCATTTCTTTCTTCCAGGACACCTTTGGGTGGATCCCAACAGTCAACCTTTCAGTTAGAAGCTGAGCACTCACCCATTCGCAGCACCCAAGAGTCCTGCTACTCAGTGTAAGCTTGCGATAAAACTACTCTGGGTGTGTTGGCTCCTGCCCTCCACCCAGCTACTGTTCGAATGTGAAATCGGCTCCGTTTCTTATCCTCTGAAGAGGCAGGGGTATGAGAAAGTGATAACTTCATGATATTTGGGTTTAGTACAATATATGGTCATATTTTTACAGTATAATTTCCATTATCTCTGCCATTGTGCTTTTATTGATATTTTCAACCACCTGAAAAATATTGTTTCTCATTCACTTCATGAAATTGTGACTCTGTGTTTTACAGACTGGATTTTTTTTGAGTCTATTGATCTCATCATGGCAGGATTTTACAGTTTCTAAATATTAGCCAGTTCTTCAGATATTGGGAACTGTTTGCCTACACTTTCCTGGGTATGTCGGTGTTAAAAGGAGACAAAATAAACTTGTTGCACTTTGTAGCTGGGAGCTCTGGTGGCTCAGTGCCTAAGGCATTTGACTGCTAACCACAAGGCTGATGGTTCAAACCTACCAGTTTTATAGCTTGGTTTAGTTTAGGCTGAAGGTGTTGGGGGGGGCGGGGTTGTTTTGTTTTCTTTTGCTTCTAAGCTTGGTATTTCAGCTTTAAAGTTTTCCTTCTGACGAGCCACTGCATGTGGAGACGACAAGAGGTGAGAACTATTTCAAACTTGGTGCCTCAGCCCATTCTGCCCTGTGTGAACGAGAAGCATGAGGGCCATCCTGCCAGGCTTAGGAAGCTTTCTTTCCCTCGGATTTTTAGTTGTGGATGCTGGTTACTTAAGCATTTGCAGCAAAACCAAAGGGAAGGAGTGGGGGCAGACTATGACAAACACAAGCGTTTTGCCCTGGACTGGAGCCCACAGTGGGAGAGGACTGCGGCAGTTTCCTGCTCACCCACAGTCCAGACTTCTCCAGATTCCCATCAATCAAAGGACTACCGAGAGAGTCCTTTGAGTTGCTAATTATATTCATTCTGAATGATTTATGAAGTCCTACAGATTTGAAGGCTATTCCAGGAGCAGAATGTGCCCAAGGGATTCCAACTCCCATTCTCAGCATAGCCAAGTTTCAGCCAGGGGCGTAGGCTAGAGTTTCAACTTCATTTCTTTATTGCCCAACAAGCACTGAAGAAGTCACAGTAGCCCAGACCAGGTTTCAACTCTTACAAGCAGGGCTGGATTCCTATGATACTACCACTGCAGTAAAATCCAGAATTAGTCAAACAGAGGTGACATTCTTTAGTGACTACTTACATTTCGGATAATTCTGATACATACATTGAAATGCATTTCTTACTCACACTTCTTGATCTCATGATTGCAATAGAAAGATAGGTGTCGATATTCCTAATTTCTAACTTTGAGTCTATTCTGCTAAGCCCACAAAATGCAACATGAAAAATTAGTACTGACTACTATGATTAAAAAAATGTAAGTCCATGAGCTTAAAAGCAGATTCTGAAGCCAGACTGCCAGGGTTCAAGCCCTGGCAATACACTTTAACTCCAATCTTGGTCTAGTTACTTAATTTCTCTGTGCATTAATTTCCTCAGTTGTGAAATAAATAATACTGCCAACACTTCACCAAGTGCCTGGCACATAGTATCAGATCACAGATATTTCTTCTTCTTATGATTATTATTAACTAATTTTAATCTTTCTGTATAATTGATGAGTATAAAGAAGAAATTAGAAGAGGACAGAAAGACCTAAAGTCCAAGTTGTAATTTCAAAATTATTTGCTCTCTGCCACCAAAGTTGCTGGGAAGTAACTACTTCTACAGTAACCTTAGAACCTCTGCATTACTCTGCAGAACAGCACCTCCAGTTACAAAATTACATTTTATAGTCTATTGACTACAGGATGAGTTATATTTCTGGGCACAATTTGTATGTGGCTCTTATTTCTCCAAATGAAAGTCTTAAGACCTGAAAGAATTTGGATGTAAACAACAAATCTCATGGACAAAGAGGAAGGAAATGAGGATTTCAATACTTGTTCTCCCCGACCCCACATGCTTGACTTTGGGGAAATTATAATCTTCCTGGGTCCCAATTTCTTCATCGGTAAAATGAGAAAGTCCTTTTCAGCTTTAATTTAAAAATAAAACAAAAAACAATTAACTACTTTTTAGATTGGCACAAATACTTTCAGTGTTTGAGCTATCCTTTAATTTTGTTCTCTCCTATCCACAAACATACAGATAATTATAGTTATCTGTAATAGTAATAATTAACTAATACTTAATTCTAGTAATAGTTAACTATTACTGGATTAAAGATCTTTGGTGATGTAATGGTTAAGGCATTTGGCTGCTAACCAAAAGGTCAGTGATTCCAATCCACCAGCTGCTCCATGGAAGAAAGATGAGGCATTTTGCTTGCATAAAGATTGACAGACTTGGAAACCCAATGGTGGTCCCTATGAGTCAGAATCAACTTGACAGCAGTGAGTTCCCTTGCTTTTTTGTCTTACCAGAATCAGATAACTGGTTCACAGTAAAACATGGTTCAAAGAACCCTGGTGGCACAGTGATTAAAATGCTCATCTACAAGGCAAAAGGTCAGCCATTCTAAACCTGCTTCCAGGAAGATTTACAGCTTTGAAGACCCTGTGGGGCATTTCTACTCTGTCCTATAGGGTCCCTAGGAGTAAGAACTGACTTGACAAGGTCGAGTTTGTGTGTGTGTGTGTGTGTGTGAAAAATGGTTATTTGGATACTGTGCTTTAGAGGTTTTTAGATTTAAGTCTGTGAGGCACTTGTCGCATTGTTTCTTCAGTTTTTTCTTTCTAATTTAGTGGAATTACAAGAGCTCTCCATTATTTTCTCCATGAGTCTCTAAATGGTATCAGGCAGCACTAATTCCTTTAAGACTACTCACTCACAGACTTTACATTCCTCTATTGGAATTTTTGTAAGATAAATTGTGTATACTGAAAAATCATTAAAGAGAAGAAATTGGTGAAATTTCTAAAAAGAAGTTGTTAAAATGAACTATTAAGGTCCTTCTTTCACTTTTGGTGGCAAGTTGATAATTAACATCTTAAGCAGTATTTCAAAGAGTATTTGTCCTATTTATGTGCTGAATGCATTATTTCTGAAATCTGTTAGGAGCTCTGGTAGCATAGTGCCTAAGGCACTTGACTACTAACCAGAAGGCTGGATGTTCAAACCCACTAGCCACTCCTCGGAAGGAAGGTTGAGCAATCCTACTTCCATAGTGATACTGCCTTGGAAACCCAAGGAGGGGTCGCTATGAGTCGGGTGACTGGACAGCAAATAACAACAACACAACATGTTACTTAACATATATGCAAGAATGTATAAATTCCAACAGCACACAATAGAGTTAATCTGTCAGAAAGACCTAATATACAAACAATATGAAGAGAACAAAATTATGTTGTTTTTGTAGACAACCTATGTAATCTCATAAAAAATGCTACATAATTACTTAGGCAAAAGCACTTTAGAAATGATGAGGTGCTATTCAAATGTAAGGAATTACTTATTCTTGCCCCAAGAGTTTAAATGTTTTTCCCTAATTGAACTGATATTTTCTTCTGAATGACCCTATTGTGAATGATTCAAGTAGATGTTACCCTGCCTCTCATTTTATTTCTTAGACTGGGTGATTGAAAAATACTGTACTGATTTTCAAAAGTCATAGCTCATTATTCTGTTTACTAGAAAATTCACCATGGTATTCTATATGGCAAATCACTATAATTTATCTGAAATACAATCTGATTTACAGAAATTTGATTTACAAGAAGCTTTTGAGGAGATGGCTGCTTTGTAAGATGAGAATAATCTGATCTGGCTTTTCCTCCTTCACTAAGAAAACTGGCTTCAAAAAAGAAAAAAAAAAAAAAACAGCATTGGTCAAATTATTGGGGGTATGAAGCTCATCTCAGGTGTGAAAAAATTTCTGAATCCATTTTGCATATCCATTCAGGATCCATTCAATAAAATAGTGAAATGAGTTGGGCATTTTGCCAGTTTTATAACTCAACAATGACTTGATGTAACTGAAACAATAATAATTGGAAAACAATCTTCTCTTCATCTAAATGTGTCAGCACATTTACACCACTCTGATGGCGTAGTGCCTAAGGCACTTGACTGGTAACCAGAAGGCTGGCAGTTCAAACCCACCAGTCACTCCTCAGAAGGAAAGTTGTACAATCTACTTCCGTAGTGATACTGTCTTGGAAACCCAAGGATGGGTCGCTATGAGTCAGATCCGACTTGACGCCCTTGAGTTCTTTTGTTCGTTTTTAGAGGGAGGACATTTGTACAGTACCCTAGATTTCATCTGTTCAACTGATCAAATACGAGTGTGGTTTCTGCCACAAAGGTAAAGAAGGATCTTGCTTGAGATGGCTGCTAGTTTCTGATGTACATAATATGGTGAGATTTATGATATGAATAATACATAAATCAAAATGATATAGATGGAGATTAAAATATATTCGGGCTCCTATATGCTTTGTAATTTTCTAGATAAATATTTCTGATTCAACTTACTAGATGTTCAAAAAAACTGGATTAAAAAAAAAGGAAAATATTCATACAAACCGTTTCAAGTGAAAATGCTATTCAAAACAATACATTTTAGAACAAACATTAAAGTTGTACCAAAATTAGTTTTAACTCAAATTCATAACTTCAGGAAACAAACAGTTTTCAGTTACTTACAAGTTGGTTTTGCTGTTGGAGGAAATTTGGTCCGGGTAATAGCCAAAATTATGAAGATAATGACTGGCCATAAAATCAAGACAAGTGTCCAAAGCTGTAAAATAGAAAATATATATATATATATATATATATATATATATATAAATTATGTTACTAGAACAAAAATCTGATTACTAGAAGGCATATCATACTATAATATTTCCACACAAGCTTGATATTTTACTGCCTTTAAAAACAATTAATAAGAATGGGACTAGAGATCTTTAAAATGCAAGAGGCCTCTAAGTGAACACAAGAAAGAGTACCAGGCTTAAAACCTTGAAATGGTCATCTGAAGTTCCCTTTCTAGTTACCTCTCAAGACTGCTCCAAGACTAATTATCTTAGAATTGAAAGCTGATCAGTCACTTCCTCAGTTACAAATCTTTAGAGTTTCCCAGGTGTCTGTTACTCTAAACAGGACATACAAACCCTAACATAATTTCAGCCTAGGTCTGTCTTACCATTTCTATCATCAGCTTTCTACAACTGTACATTAAAAAAAAATAATGCCTAGGATTGGGTAATGACTCAATAAATGTTGTTGAACAAATGGGTGAATGTGTTCGTCAATATGTGAATGAAGAAATACTTGAGTCTATGGGAGTAAACAGGAACTTAAAGGTCTGTACAATGCTTCTATTCCACTATAATATCCTGTGTCTGCTTCTCTCATAGACCTAACACAGTATCATCATAAACTGTTTTCTTGCCTGACTCCTTGACTAACTGGGAGTTCCTTTAAAGCTTTGTCTCATTTATCCTTGTATTTTCACTACTCGGTGTAAAGAGATCCCCCTGGAATCTATAAACCCATTGCTATTGCATCGATTCCAACTTATAGTGGCCTAAAGGACAGAGTAGAACTGCCTCATGCAGTTTGTTGTTGTTGTTAGGTGGTGTTGAGTCGGCTCTGACCCTTAGCATCCTTATGTGCAACAAAACAAAACCCTGATCAGTCCTGCACCATCCGCACCATCATTTCTATGCTTAAACGCATCCCTGCAGCCACTGGACCAATCCATCTTGTTGAGGATATTGCCCTTTTTCTCTAACCCTCTACTTTACCAAGCATGATACCCTTCTCCAGGGATTGGTCCTTTCTGACAACATGATCAAAGTATGAGAGCTGAAATCTCACCATTCTCACTTCTAAAGAGCAATCTGGCTATACTTCCTCCAAGACAGATTTGTCCATTCTTCTAGCAGTCCATGGTACATTCAATATTTTTCACTAACACCACAACTCAAATGTATTAATTCTTCTGTAGTCTTCTTTGTTAATTGTTCAGTCCTCACATGCACATGAAAAAACAAACAAACAAAAAACCAAAACTCACTGGTGTCGAGTCAGATCCGACCCATCGTGACCCCTCCTTGGGTTTCCGAGGCAGTATCACTATGGAAGTAGATTGCCCCATCTTCCTTCCGAAGAATGGCTGGTGAGTTTGAACCACCAGCTTTCTGGTTAGCAGTGCCTTAGGCACTATGCTATCAGAGCTCATATGAGGCTATTGAAAATACCATGGGTCGGGTCAAGTGCACCTTAGTCTTCAAAATGACATCTTTGCTCTTTAACACATTAAAGGGGACTTTTGTAGCAGATTTGCTCAATGCAATACATCCTTTGATATCTTGACTGCTGCTTCCATGACCATCCATTGTGGCTCCAAGTAAACTAAAATCCCTGACAACTTCAATCTTTTCTCAATTTATCATGATGATATTTATTGGTCCAGTCGTGAGGATTTTTGTTTTCTCTATGTTGATGTGCAATCCATATTGAAGTCTGTAGTATTTGACCTTCTTCAGTAAGTGCTTCAAGTCTTCCTCACTTTCAGCAAACAAGGTTGTGTCATCTGCATATTGCAGGTTGTTAATGAATCTTCTTCCAATCCTGATGCCACATTCTTCTTCATGTAGTCCAGCTTCTTGGATTATTTGCTCAGCATACAGACTGATTAAGTATGTTGAAAGGATACAACCCTGACACACACCTTTACTGAGATTTTAAACCATGCACAATACCTTTATTCTGTCTCTTCATCTATGTACAGGTTCCTCATGAGCACAATTAAATGTTCTGGAATTCCCATTCTTTGCAATGCTATCCATAATTTGTCATGATGCATACAGTCAAGTCCTTTTGCATAATCCATAAAACACAGATAAACATCTTTCTGGTATTCTTTGCTTTCAACCAAGAGCCATCTGACATCAGCAATGATATTCCTTATAGTCCTTTTCTGAATCCAGCTTGAATTTCTGACAGTTCCTTGTCCACATACAGCTGAAACCGTTTTTGAACTATCTTCAGCAAAATTTTACTTACATGTGATGTTAATGATATTGTTTGATAATTTCCACGTTCTGTTGTATCACCTTTCTTTGGAATTGGTACAGGTAGGGATCTCTTCCAGTAGGTTGGCTAGGTAGCTGTCTTCCACATTTCTTGGTGAAAATGAGTGAATGCATCCAGTGCTGTATCCCTTCTTGAAATATCTCAGTGGGGATTCCATTAATTCCTGGAGCCCTACTTTTCATGAATTCTGTCAGTGCAGCTTGCACTTCTTACTTTAATACCATTGATCTTTAATCACATGCTACCCTCTGAGATAGTTGAACATTGACCAATTCCTTTTGGTACAGTCACTCTGGGTATTCCTTCCATCCTCGTTTGATGTTTCCTGTGTCTTTCAATATGCTGACCATAGAATCTTTCAACATTGCAACTCAAAGCATGAAATTTCTGTTCAGTTTTATCTGCTTGAGAAATGCCAAGCATGTCCTTCGCTTTTGATTTTCTAACTCGAGGTCTTTGCGTATTTCATTATAATACTTTGCTTTCTAAAACTGCTCTTTGAAATTTTCTATTCAACTCTTTTACTTCATCATTCTTTCCATTTGCTTTAGCTGCATTCCATGTAAGAGCAAGTTTCTGAATCTCTTCTGCATCCATTTTAGTCTTCTTCCATTCCTGTCTTTTCTTTCTTTATGTATGATGTCCTTCATCCCACCACTCATCTGGTCTTCAGTCATGATGTTCAATGTGTCAAATCTATTCTTAAGATGCTCTCTAAACTCAGGTGGGATATGCTTATGGTTATATTTTGGCTCTTGTGGTCTTTTTTATTTTCTTCAGCTTCAATTTAAACTTTCATATGACCAATTGATGGTCTGTTCCACAGTTGGCCCCAGGCCTTGTTCTGACTGATGATATTGAACTTCTCCATTGTCTCTTTCTATGGATGTACTTGATTTGATTCTTGTGTATTCCATGTGTATAGTCACCATTTATGTTGCAAAAAAAAAAGGAATTTGCAATGAATAAGTCATTGGTCTTGCAAAATTCTATCATGCGATCTCCTGTATAATTTCTATCACCAAAGCAATATTTTCCAATTACCAATGCTTCTTCTTTGTTTCCACCTTTCACATTTCAATCACCAGTAATTATCAATACATCTTGAAAGCATGTTTGCTTAATTTCAGACTGCAGAAGTTGGTGAACATCTTCAATTTCTTCATCTTCGGCTTTAGTGATTGGTGCATCAATTTAAATAATAGTCATATTAAGTGGTCTTCCTTGTAGGCATATGGATTTTATCCTGTCACTGATAGCATTGTACTTCATGATAGATCTTGAAATGTTCTTTTTGATGGTGGATGCAACACTATTCCTATTCAGCTTGTCATCCTGGCATATAACTGTACAATTCAAAATGACCAATATGAGTCCATTTCAGCTCATTAATGCTTAAGATATCAATCTTTATGTGTTTGATTTCATTTCTGACAAATTACAACTTTCTTCAATTCATACTTCATACATTCCATGTTTTGGTAATAAGTGCATGTTTACAGCTGTTTCTTCTCATTTTGAATTGTGCCACAGCAGCAAATGAAGGTCCAGGAAGCTTTACCCCATCCACATCCTGAAGGTCAACTCTACTTTGAAAAGGCAGCTCTTCTCCAGTTATATTTGGAGTGCTTTCCAATCTGAGGGGTTCATCTTCTGCCATTATATCAGACAATGCTTCCCTGATTCATAAGGTTTTCAGTGGTCAATTGTCTCAGAAGCATGTCTAGTCATGTCCTTCTTTGTAGTTGGTCATAGTCTGGAAGCTCCGCTGAAACCTGTCCATCTTGGGTGACCCTGCTTGTATTTGAAATACCAGTGACATAGCTTTCAACACCACAGCAACACATAAACCTTCACAGTATGACAAACTGACAGAGAAGCAGTGGAACTCCTTATACTGTATTGAAATTTCCCTAGAGAGTTTTTTTTTTTTTTCAATTTCAATTCAGTTGCAGTTTTCCTCCCATGTAGACATGATTCCATCAGTAAGTCACTAACTGCTTAGTATTTTATATTCCTATAAAATGGGCTCCAGAGCAGTGAAAAACACATATTCACAAAAAGATTAACTTTGCTATGAATGCATTATTTCTGAAATCTGTTAGGAGCTCTGGTAGCATAGTG